TCCCAAGATTCCCCGAACTGCCAAGGACCACCCGGCCCATGGCCCACGAGAGGAGGCCACCCACACCGCCCAGGGCCGCCTGCATCTCCCCATGATGGATCTTCCACCCGTCGGGCCACCCCACCCGCGCAGGGCCAAAGACAGAGAGTTAGGGGGGGGGGGCCCTCAGCCCCCATCGCCTCCCCGTCCCATGTTGGTGTGAAGTGTGCATGTATATGTGTGAGAGAGTTGTGTGTTTATGTCTACAATGCATTAAAATTAGTGGGTGCAGTTCGGGTATGAGGGCCCCACCACTGGCAGATGGCAGAGTCCCCCATCCCCCTCCCCGCACCCCCAAGGCCCTAATGTAATATGGACTGAGTATATGACTAAAGTGCAAAAAGCGGGTGAGCAGCTGAGGCACGGGCACCCCACCGCTGGCAGACGGCAGGTGCTTGATTTTATACACCTGTGGCAATGGGTCTGAATGGAACATCTGAATTCAATGATTAAGAGGTGTGTCTCAATAATTTTGTCTATTTAGTGTATATGTAAGAAAAGCAATAACATGTCAAATGTCCTGGTACAATAAACCTGGGATATGATGGACCAGCCAGGTTTGTAGAACCTTACAAATTCAAGGAGCAACAAGAAACTGCTAGTATCATTGTGTTTTATTTAGAAGTAGCCACCAGGCTACGAATGAGATTTGTTCTCTAAGTCTGTCTTCAAGTCAAATTTGTAGGTAAGTCAGAACAGTAATAAATAATAATAATAATAATAATAATAATAATAATAAAAGCAGTACATACGGTACTGTACCTCGAGTTGACAAACCACAATGCTTTCATGAGCGTCACAAAGCAGTGTATGCATTCACTATTACGATGTCACAGATACAGCTGTAAGTGAAACCATTGGAGGTTTATTGATAATCTGCAACATAACAAAAACTAAATGAACTCAAGGGGTGAAACAAAAGGGAAACCAGGGCTGGCAGGGAATAAGATCAGCAACACAGCAACAGGTGAACGAAGCACCAGCCACAGCCTGGAGGAGCACAAGACAAGTGGGTACTTTATACACATACTAACGAGGACTTAACAAGCTGGCAAGGAAGCAGGAAGGCCAGACAGAAATGTGACAGACAGAATACAGGGCTCTCAAGTGTCACGCATTGAGCATGACAGTCTCTCTTTTCAGTCTTTTGTCACGCACTCCCGCCACACATTGTATTTCTCACGTGGAAAAATAATTTGTACGCTAATACACCGCAGCGCCCAATATTTCTTGGATCGCAGCACAGTAGCGCTTCACTATGTGTTCCAGCAGAGACAAACGTGTCTCTGCTGGAAACAATCCAAAAAAAAAAAGAAAGGGCCTACACAATAGCCAATCAGAAAATAGTACTATTGTATCTGGGTAAAATAAAACACAACAACCAATGAAAAGGCATCCTGTGGAATGTCACTCTTGTCTGTCTTCAAAACTTGAGAGCCCTGAGAATACAACAATGGACCAGTGTATTTGACCCAACATTTTTTATGTAATAGGCTTTATGACAGTCCGTAAGTACAAATAATCCATAAGTCAGATGTTCTTAACCCAGGGACTGCCTGTAAATGATAGTTTTACAGCTAATATTACTGCTTAAATTAATGCCTAAGATCAGCTAAGAATATAGGGGTGTGTAGACTAAGAGTATGGATGTGTCATTCAGGTGTTAAACTAAAGATATAAAAATAGCAGTTAGTCCACATTAAACAGTGGAGTGGCTGGTGAAACATTTGGTATCTGTGGGTCAACCTCAACTTTCTGTGTGTGGGTTATATAACCTCAGGTAGCTTTGAATTTGATTTTAATGCTATGAAATCAAATTAGTAATCCAAGGATGCCTAGTGCCTGCATTCTAATTTAGGTCTAGTTGTGGTCATTTCTGCATTAATTTCTGCATTTACTTCTGCATGATTGTGGAATTTACAAGGTTCCACAATGCATAGATTCCTGGAACCAGGCACAATGAGGATAGAGAATATTTTGTTTATAATTCAAGCTTGCAGGGCTTGGGGGGCTGTGAGTAAACAGGAGGGAAATTTGTTTGACATTTTATGTGATAATACTAATGATCCCATCCAATTAGTGTTCAGATCAGCTCTCTGTAAAATCCTGCCATTTCCCAGAAGTCACCCTAGTTGTTTGCACAGGATGTGATTTTGGAGACACACTAGGGAATATAGCTTAATTTAACTTACATCTGCTCTCTCTACTGGTGAAGGACCACACACAATTTTAAAATGACCTTTGCACTAAGTTGACACAAAGCTCCTCTAGATATATCAGGGATGTATTAATGTTGGGACCTCATATCATTAAGATCCCTGTGGATAAACAAGGTATAGACAAAGTGAATCCATTTAATATGCACCTTACCGCGTTTGTGACTGCACGTGTGTCTGTGCGGTCACCATATTTGGGGTGGTCAACACTTGAGTCACTGATAGCAGACTGCTTGGAAAAATGCCGCAGGCATTTGAAGAAGTTGGATGTACAAAGAGATGAAACCTTGAAAACAGGCATTGCAGGATAACTTTTCACAAACAAGTAGCAATTTTAATGTATTTCACTGTTAAGTAAGTTTGTGAACATGAGCTATCCTGAAAATGACCATCGTGATAATAGCTACCTAAGCAAAACAATGTTATGAATAATTGTAAAATTATTAACCATGAATAAACATGATATTTACTTAACGGTGACGTAAGGAACACACTTAAGGTGTCATTACCTCCGATCACCTCTAGGTGGGACCATTTTGTTGCAGAGAAACAAGCTCAGGGCTCCGATTGATTGTTCATTATGATGAGTTGTAGTTATTATGCACTTTATTATGCTTTATTATGTGCACACAATGGCCGGTCTTTGGAAAATTGTCTTACATGAAACCAGTCCGTGGTGCAAATACGGTTGGAGTCGGCGGCAGTTAAGCAGTATTTCCCAACCCAGACCTCGTGGAGCCCCAGACGGTCCACGTTTTTGCTCCCTCCCCGTAAATCGTGGACTGTCTGGGAAATACTGCTTTACATAATGTGCTATTACAAGATGTCAGTTTGCCTAACTGCTTGTAATTATGGGAGGAATCCTGGACAAAGCTATGCAAGTGAGAGAGAGAGAGAGAGAGAGAGAGAGAGAGGAGACAGTCTGAGATCATCGAGCTGCAATTCTGTCTGAAATATTCCCAAATAAAACGGTGCCAGATATGTTATTAAAGCACATTTATATTTTTAAATGTCAAGTCATTTATTTGTATAGCACATTTAAAATGTGGTAATTAAAATAAATGAAAAGTGTTATTAAAATAAAAAAAGTCATTAATAGGGGACTTGTCAAAAACATAGGAGAACCTCAAAGTGAGTTGAAAGCAAAAGAAAAAAGGTGGGTCTTTCATTTAGATTTAAACTCATCAATAGTAAAGCAGGACATAATGGGAGACTATTCCAAAGTCTGGGGGTAGCTACTGTACAATGAAATCCTGCAGCAATGTCACAGAATGTGTTGTTAATATCACTTAACTACAGGAAGAATGTATGAAGAGAATATCAAAGCTGCCAGTCTTTTATTTTATTTTATTTATTTATGGTTTATTTGACATGGGCAGTACACATTAATAAACATAGAATGTAATTGTGCCAGAATTAGCCAAAATGGCTATTTTACATCTGTTGTCCATGGACCGATGATAAAAGGTCAAATGCATATTAAAAGAAACAAAATACATAAAGTATACATAGATTATAATAAAAAAAGTAAGTAAAAATACACATAAAACATCTTAGTATGGCACATTCATTTACTTATTTTTAATTTTGTCAAGAGTCCACAATGTATATTTTGATAGAAGACAGGAAATAAGATCAGTTTTGGTATAACACCTTAGGTATCATCATTCTACGGCGACAGCTGACTGATGCATGCAGCTGGCTAAGCTTCATATTTTCAAAATTCCCAATTTAATAAGCTTCTGGCAAGATACAAAGCAGAACAGAAATATCCACAAAAAAATATCCTTTTTGTCTTAGTAACTTAGTAAACATGTGCTGTCGATGTTGTCATACAGTACTAATACAGTAAATGATTGTCTGTGTATTTAGATGCACTTTTCTGAACACAACCGGACATGCTTTCGCTTGTTTCTCCAGGACATACTGTACGATTGACGTGTTGCTCCTCTTCCGTCTGTCGGCTCATTGCTTGGTCTACACCCCCCTCCCACAAACCTTCACTCCGGCTTCCTTATTACTTAAGAACCTGCTTACTCACAACCGGTTACATGTTTCCTGAGACATTGCAATAGTTTGTACTTCATTCGTTCCCATTTCTCGAAAATGACACACGTATTCAATGGCCTCTGTCAAATACTGGGCCCCCTGAATATTCCAGGGTGCCCATGGCCCTCCAATGACCCTGTGCCCAAGGGAGAACAAATAAATGGAAAAAAGTAGAAAACATATAAAATAAATATACTGCTCAAAAAAATTAAAGGAACACTTTGAAAACACATCAGATCTCAATGGGGAAAAAATCATGCTGGATATCTATGCTGAAATGGACTAGGTAATGTGTTAGGAATGAAAGGATGCCACATTGTTTGATGGACATTAAAATTATCAATCTACAAAGGGCTGAATTCAAAGAGGAGTTGGACTGTGCTGTGCAACCTCTGTAGGGTCCAGGTATCGCCTGATGCTACCAATAGTGACACTGACTGTAGCCAAATGCAAAACTAGTGAAAAAACAGTCAGAAAAGATGAGGAGGGAAAAATGTCAGTGGCCTCCACCTGTTAAACCATTCCTGTTTTGGGGGTCGTCTCATTGTTGCCCCTCAAGTGCACCTGTTGTTAATTTCATTAACACCAAAAGCAGCTGAAATCGATTAACAACCCCCTCTGCTGCTTAAGTGACCATGTCAATATCCCAGAAGTTTAATTGACTTGATGCTATACTCTGATTAAAAATTGTTCCAGTGTATATTAAAAGTTTTATTTTTGTTATATGACAGAATTCAGAATCTTTTTTGTAATAAATTGTTTCCCTTAAACTGCTTAACACCAGCAAATATCATTTTACAGGTGCACAAACATAGATTAATGTATCTTTAGTCTAAGATACTACAGCTTTACTGTGTTGTACTGCTCTCAGGTTTACACTACATAGTTAGCAGAAAGCTCATATCAGGGTACTGACTGGATAAAATGCCAGCCCAACCCCAAGCAAACGTCTGGGGATGAAATTCTAACCCCATGTCAATATGAATCACTCTCACTATGCGAGTGCCACAGCACAAAAAGTAGAAAGACACACTCAATTCATGCCACGGGGATTTTTTCAGGGTAGCTATTTTAATTATCTGTCTCACACCGCATTTGAAAATGTAGAAGCTTCCAGACTATAACTGTAAACATTGCATCTTAAGTTCATATTTCCATTGTGTCAATGTTTCTTACTTACAGAATTATATCTATGCTACCTGTTCGAATTTGTGGCAGGCTTCATTTTGGCCGAGAAATACATTTATGACAACAAACTAATGTCGGGGTACGCTAAAGCATGTGTAGTGAAATTATCAGTTGTGTCGGAAGCTGTTCAGAATGTTAGCGTTATATGCAGTGTAAATAGGTTATACGTAAATAATAATAATCTGTGTTTGTTGATGTACATTATCTGTTTATATTTTCAGTTTTACAACAAAATCGATTTTTCAGTAAAAATCAAAACAATTCATGCCTTGCTTTTTAAGGGAGATTGATCAGCTATTCAGTAGCTGCCCAGTTATGCACCGAGACGCATTGTGAGGACAGCATACTGTCAATCATTTTACTGTTCTCATGGTATTGGACGAGGCACAAAATTAAAGGTCCGCAACAAATTTTCACACAACTTGAAAACAACTTTTAGGCTCTAGGTTAATAATATATTCAACGCCAGGCATGTTAGGGGCCACAAAATAAAGTGTCATGGACTGGATGTATCTCACAAGCTGCTTATTTAGTACCTAAGGCCTAAAATAACCTTTTTCTGCCCATAAGTTCTTGTGAACTTCTAGGCTCGCTCCATTGACTGCTTTGTGAAGCTAATGCCTTGCCAGTGATCTTTTTACATGCTCCAGTGCACAACTTCCTAATCATCCATTTCTTTTTCTATAAGCACTTACTGTATACTAACATTAAGATACTGTGTGAAATTTAGAGGCACTGATCCATATGTTTTTGGACTACAGGAAGGAACCAGATTAAACACCTGCAAAGACCGGAGGATTGTGAAAAACATGCACAGAGGGCCAAATCCACACCCCTGGTTCCAGTCCCACCCAGTGAACCACCACCCTCAATCCCAATGGCAACACATTTTGATTTGTGAAGAATAGAGTCAGGGGTATGTCCAGCAGCAGGGCTGAGACCTGTCTCATTCCACCTGAAAGTTATGACCGAATTTTCCAAGAAGTGCAAGCCTGGCCGAGCTCAGGGAGATAACAAGCAGTCATTGTGATTGAACGCTGCTGTCGGCCATGGCCGGGGTGTACGGGTTCTCCTTGAAGCAGCACAGCAGCTGCTTGAACTTGTCTCGAGCATCATGGCAAATGAAGATGTAGAGCAGAGGGTCCAGCAGGTTGTTGAGGCTGGTGAGCCCGTAGCAGATGCGATAGCACAGGAAGAGAGCCTCCTCTAGTCTGCAGTGGTCATTGGTCAGGAAGAAAGCCACAAACTTGTAGCCACCCACCAAATGGTAGGGCCCAAAGATGAGCACGAAGATGACAGTGATGATGACGAGGGTACCCACAATCTTGTGGCGCTCATGGTCAGGGACAGAGGGCGACTTTCGCAGTTCTATGGCGATGCAGACAGAAGTGAAGCTGAACAGGAGACAAGTGGCAAAGGGTTCTTTGAGAAGGTTTTCTTAAAATGTTCACACAGTTGAATGGAAAGTTACAGGCTCAGCTTACACAAAAAAATGCCACAGCAGTTGCATCATATGCGCTATGGGAGATATCAATCATTCCTGGTCGGGGGGGGGGGGGGGGGGTCTTCAATTAGATTATTTTCAGGGAGTTTTTGTGAGGTTGTTTTCTGACAACAACTATGAAGTTAAAGAGAAGATAAATGGCAAAATTCTGCTGTCTTCCACAGAACTATCCTAGTTGCATCCTAGCTGTACTTAGAAGGTATTAATGTCACCCCTTTCACTTTGGTTTGTTCCCAGAATTGCAGTAAAACTGGTAAAACTCTCGGCTAAAGGCACAGATAGATTAAATAAAAAGTATTTTAAAAAGAAATGGAACAGCTAGGTGTATGAAGCAGAGAGAGAGGATGGAAATTTTCCTTTTCTTTCTACTGTATGACAAATTACTTGATGTTGATGAAAACACATGCAGACCCTTAAACTTATGTAGTATATAATTATATACACACAGAACTTACTGCTTGCATATTTGCTTTTCCTAATTGGGATACTGCAATTATGGCAATATTTTTACTTTTGCAGATTATGCCTTTGATAAATTAAAATGCAGGATACATCATGTTACTGGTCTGGCAAATCATTTACTATCATTTAGTTGATTTTAAATATTTTGTGAAAAATTTGATTCATTTTCTGGAACATTTAAGACATCCTCAGAACTCATCTGCACCAGGGTCATTATCGCTAATGAAAACTAAAGCTATAAGAAAACATTCCTGTAAACTGAAATGAGAAACAAAACAACTGAACTACAACTAATCAAATATTGCTTCTCACACCAACTGAAGTAAAATAAAAACAAACATCAAATACTTCCCAGTACCATCTTAAAATATACTGTTTAGCTAAACTAATTATTTGTTTATCTTAATTACCATAAATAATACCTGGAACATGTTTTGTTCATTTTTAAGACATTAACACATAATTTGCACTGTGTATTCACGTACGATTCTCTAAAGATCCGACACATACACAGTGATATATGCATAACATAAATACACACTCTTATGTAAATGAATATATTCAAACCATAAACATACACACATCCACTCATATTAACACACATGTAGTATTAAGACAGATCCACAAAAACTTACCCCAGGATAGCACAGGGTACGAGAAAGCCTAGTATGATGGTTGCAATCTTAAAGGCAGCGTATTGTTCACTGACGGGGTACTGCTCCAGGCACAAGTGGGACTTGTCTCTGTACACTGAAGGGTATAGTCCACTCATGCAGAAGAAGAACATGAAGATCCAAATGGACAGGCCACAGATGACGGCCACCCGGACCTGTCGCACTCTCCGGCTTCTCAGCGGGTGTACAATGGCCAGGTAGCGATCCAGGGCGATGAGGCACAGGAAGCCGATACTGGAGTACAGGTTGACGTAGAAGATGTAGCCTACAATATTGCAGGGTATGCTATTTAAGTTCCACTTGTGTTTTTCATGAAGGTAGACCATCCAGAGGGGCAAGGTAAGTAGCTGCAGCAGGTCAGACACCAGCAGGTTGGCCAAAAAAAACAGCTGGACCCCCCCGCCAGAGTGCCGCAGTTGGTAGAGCCCCCACAGAGACAGCAGGTTAGCAGGCAGTCCCAGGGAGAAAGACAGGCTGTAGAGGAAGATAAGGCCAACATAATCCCCTTCTAGGGTAAAGTTACAGTTCATATCGTGTCCAAGTCTCTCAGCCATCACGTCCAGGCTTCAAAATAAATGCATGCAGTCCTCAAGTCCCCTTGATTGTCATGGAAATGTTGTGCTGTCCCATTAATGGTGGGTCACAGGCTTTTATCTACAATTTATGATGTCAACGGTAAAATGACCTCAAGCTGTGAAAAAATGCCCTGTTTCCACAAATAGAAATGCTATCATTTGAACAAGTGACTCCACCCTACTGGTTTGTACTCTATCGCTTGTGTTGAAAACCACTTCCTCACCCTCTAGTGAAAACATCTTAATGTAAAACAAAATGGATGAAACAGTCTGCATTTCGCAACATGCAAGGGTGCATGCATCTCCATTGGTCCTTCCCTATGGACCCATAACACTAGCCGACATCAAATTTGGTGAATAATATCAAATGACATTTTTAAAACACCCTTGATAAACAAACATTTTTAGTATATTTAGTTTTGCTCCAGAACGTCTGGTTTTTCTGTGATTTCGACTTTTTTCATATACAATGCATTGTATACCTAATAATGTCATTTTGATACCAGTCATATAAAATCACCAGTAACTAGTCAGTTAACTAGTAAACTAGTCAGCAGGGTTTACAGGCAGCTTGCAGTTATGTAAACTTACAGGCAGGGGCGGACTGGGACAAAAATTCAGCCCTAGCACTATAGCCACACCAGCCCACATTACCACACTGACACAGCCCCACCCACGGACACGCACATTCACTACTTATATTGGTGTACAGATGGTGAAATAATATAAGCAGTACCATATGTAATAGATATTTAAACATGTAATGTACAGTATGTGACTGGAACAAAAATAACCCGTTTATAACAAATTTATACATTTATACAGTAAAAACTAAATAAAAAACCAATCTGTGAATCTTGTAGAGTCCGTGTGC